CCTCCTCCTCCTCCTCCTCCTCCTCCTCCTCCTCCTCCTCCTCCTCCTCCTCCTCCTCCTCGGTTCGGTTCGGTCGAAGGCGGAGCGTCGAAGCCTAAGACTAAGAAAATGGCGAGACAGAGCGGGATGGGGACGGCGGCGACGAGGGCCCCCCCAGACCACGAGCCACACGGAGAGGGCAGCCCAAAGCCCGCGCACCCCCCCAAGAGGGGGGGGCGCAGGAGAGGAAGAGAAAAAACGAGGAGGAGGGCCCGCAGGGGGGGAGCTTGGGCAAAGGGCGCCCTGGACAACAAAAAGCCCACAAGGGCCACCCCAGAAACAGGGCCCACAAGGGCCGAACCGCGGACCAGGACCAGGAATTCGAGCCACGACCAGCAACACTCAGACGCGTCAAACCTGCGCCGCCCGTTCTCACAGCACGCCATGCTACGCACTCGTACCCAGCGTCGCAAAACAATCAAGTGACAAGGATATCAGCGTTGCGGCAACATGCGCCTGGCCCGCAACAAGTCAATCCACCGGCGGAACTTGATCTTGGTTTTCACCAGCTCTTTCTTGGCAGCTTCAACCCGGCCTGAGAAATCTTCCGAAGTGGGCGTGGCGGCGGTAGACGACGAAGTCTGCGTGAAAATCCTCGCGGTAGCAAGAGCAGCGATGGCCTCGGCCTCCAGAACATTGAACCGCTCGACCGCTGCGAGAAGCTGCTCAGCTGCAGCACTGTCCATATCGTGGGAAACTGGATGCAACGCCATCTCTGCCAAGATGGTAACCTTGTTCTCAGCAGCCTGAATGCACTCTGGACCAGGTACGCTCTCAGTCACAACATGTGCGGGGTCAGCAGGCTCTGGCTGAGATTGAAGCTCATACTGGGGCTCGGCACTGCGAGCCGTGGCGGCGGAGTGAAATCCAGGCGCATCCCGACGGAGAGAACCAGTTGGAAGAGAGTCGATGCCCGCAGACCTACTGTCCATGCCCTCCTCCGGCGAAGAGTCACCCTCGGACCCACGGATCACGACGTCGTCGTAGCCGTCCTCGGTGCCCTGCTGATCGCACCAACTGGCACACCATATTGAAGCAACTCGAAGCCCGCAGAACGCTTGTCCGTGCCCTCCTCCGGTGCGAAGTTATCCTCGGATCCCGTGGCCTCAGACCCCGAATGCTGAGGTACAGGATGCAGCTGAAGATGTCGATGCTGCCGATCTGGTTCTGGAGCTCCACGTCGTCGACCATGTCCGGCTCCTGCACCTCGGCCTCGGCCATGGCGCCCATGATGCTCACCACGCGGCGCTGGCTCCACCGGTGGGGAATCGAGACAGAGGCAAATTTCACTGCAACCATCCGAGTGCAAGTGGCCTCGATCAACAGTGACTGCCATGTGGGTGTTCTGGGCGATGCCATCCAGAGCTACCAAAAGAAGAGAACGAGTGACCATCGAAGTCGCGCCACGGGAATGGTATATCCTGATTTTTGCTTTAGCCCGTCGTTGGTCGGAGCAGAAACAACCATTGCAAATTACAAGCCAAAATGTTGGGGCTGCAGGGGGGATTTCAGCGCAGATGCGCTGTGAAAGCCTCGCAAACAAGCACGTGCCTGTGCGATGGCTGGCCTGGGCCAGCGAGGCTCTCCTCCTCCTCCTCCTCCTCCTCCTCCTCTCCTCCTCCTCCTCCTCCTCTGTCCCACCTCCAGAGGAGGCCGAACACCGCTGCTCCCTGGACCTCTCCCAGGGGGCGCGCTCCGGCCGGGATCTCGAGGCGAAACCCGCCCGGGCGGCGAGAGGGAGGTCCTGCAGCCCCGGCCCGCTTGTTCCCTTCCCCTCCCTGGAGCAGGGGCCGACCGCCCCAGTGTTCCAGTGGGCCTAACACGGCAGAGTCTCAGGGCAAGGCGGATGCTCCACTTGCTGCCGAGCGTGCTTCCCAACCGATGAGTTCCTGCACAGGTGCAGGCGAAGACATGGTTGTGCAGGCCGTGCGGTGTGAGCTGTGCTGATCGGGAGGAGGGAACGAAGCGGCACCACGACCCGGAGGATGGAGGCAGAGGGTGGCCTGGGGTGGTCGTGGTGTATATCGTCTCGGGCGTTCCCGCGGGACATCGTGAACGCCCGCATCTCGCACACCAGGTGGTGGTGGTGATGCGCTCCCTGCTCCCAGTGCTTTGTGAGCCATGTGGTGATATCTAAATGGTGTGGGCTATGCTGTGAATGCTATGTGGTGTGGGCCAGGTTATGTAAACTGTGTGGTGTGACCTGCATCGTCTGAACTATGTTGTGCAATCTATGTGGCGTGAACTAACGCTGTGACAGCTAAGCAGTGGAATGGATGTGGTGTGAGCTATGCGGTGTGAGCTATGCGCTGCACGATATGTGGTGCAAACTATGTGGTGTACGCTATGATATGTATGCTATGTTGTGTAAGCACACAGGCCGCGCACGAGCGGGTACAAGCGCCAACGTGTCGAATCGGGAAACCCAGCCAGCGCACGGGGCGCCTAAGATCGGTGGCAATAACTAAAGGAGCCCAACACATTACTAAACTAAACCAGATCAGCAACCCTGGTGCAAACATTATCTGGGCACACAGCGCAAGTTCTTACACCATGATGTCGACGAGCTGAAGCAGGACTACCAGCCAGCCATCATCTAATCACGTCTTGTGCAAAAGGAAGGAGGACTGAGGGATAGGAGGATGAGTGAGATGAGGAGGGGGAGGCGGAGGGAGGATCGGAGGAGGAAGAGGACCCATAACTTCGACGTCCTGTTTTGGCTGTCGCCCAAAACGCCGACCCCAGAGGTCTGGACCCTTTTCTGGGAATCCCATGAACGTCCCAAGGACAATCGATGGCCGCGGGAGGTCGGAAATCGTCAACAAAAACGTCCCGTCGCGATTTTGGTTTACCATGAAAGGAGTTGGAGGGATGAGACGGAGGAAGAGCAGGAGGAGGTTTACACAATAGCTCGAGCTCACTCGCTCCCTCGTCTTTACATGCCACTGTAAAACATTGCGGATCATGCTCGCCTCCGTCACCCTGCCTGCGGCCAGCCTGGTGATCGCATACTCCGAGCCTGCATTGGTCTGTCTGCTGTTCCCTATGACGCGTTGCCTTCTCCCTTTCCCCGCTGCAGTCACCTAGGCTGCCTTTCTCGTTGGCCTCAAAACCTAAACTTGCCCAACGTAAGGAAGAGGAGATAGCGTTGTGCAACGTTTGGGGTCATCTGGTCTCGGTTTTTTGAAGAGCTGTGTCTCAGCCACCCTCATGACGTAGCGGCTGCGAAGTCACTGTCTATGCTCCTCGCGGGCAACGGTCCCAATTCGAGTAGTTTTTGAGTGCAGCATTCGAGTGCGAATCGGGACTCAGTACTGCAGGATCTATGTTTGCTCGTTGGTTTGCTTATTTGATGCGGGAGGCTGTGGCTGCGGTTCACTGGCCCAACAGGAGGAATATGTTTTCTCAACAGCAACAGATGAACGCATGGTGCCCCCCCAGAAAAAATGGATGCCACCACCAAGCCGTTCAGCTACCAACTGTGGGGGAGATCGCAAGCACCTGTGCAAATCCAAGCGACAGCCAGAGCGGCAACTCGAGAGGCGTAATGACATACGGCTCATCCAGAACCCACCTCGCGCAATGGGGGAGACGCCCGACCGTGCGAATAAGACGCCGCGACTCTCGAGCCAGCACTCTCAACGCGATCGCAGAGGGGATGGGGAGGGAGAGGAGGAGGAGGCGGAGGGGGAGGAGGAGGCGGCGGAGGAGGAGGGGCAGGAGGAGGGAGAGGAGAAGGAAGAGGAGGAGGAGGGGGAGGAGGAGGAGGAGGAGGAGGCGGGGGAGGATGACGGGGATGGAGGGTAAGCTAGGTGCGCTTGCATCAGATCTGACGTCCTATCCTTCCCTCCTATCCCTTACCATGGTGTAGATATCCTCCCTATTCGCACAGTCGGATGTCGAGCAGGGCAATAATCGTGAGAAGGTACGCGATGCATGGTAAAGCACGGCATGGCATGGCGTAGAAAAAAAACACGGCAGAACGTAGCATGCCATGACATGGCGTGGCATTGCGCAGTGAAGCATTGAATCACAAAACATTGCAACGCAAAGCATGGCATCGCACAGCAGCGCAGAACACAACACCGCACAGCATGTCATGGCATGGCGCCAGAGTCTTCGGAGGAAAAGTGGATCGTCTTCGAGAGGTCCATGGGCCAGTCTGGAGTCGCGGCTCCATGTCTAGCTCCTTAGGTTTCCCCAAAAACTCCACACAAGGCGGGGCCTGTGTGGGCCCCGGAAACGGCAAGGCCGTTTTTTCACCGTTTCCCCCAAAAAGTCCCTTGCAAATGGAAACGGCAAAAAAACGGCGACCGGAAACAACAAAACAACGGCGCCAGGATTGGAACCGGAGCCGGAACCGGTCAAGAAACGGCGACGGAACCGGTAAAAAAGCGGCGTCGGAACCGGCAAACAAGCGGCAAAACGGAACCGGTAAAAAAACGGCCCTGTCGTTTCCAGGGCCCGCTAAGGGCGGGGCTGATGGAGAGTATTTGCTGGCTCTGCTTCCAACATCGCCTTCTCATAACAGGAACGGGGCTCCCGCTTGATGCTATCTGAGAGCGACGGCGCCTCCAAGTTGGAGGGGGGCCCTAGGGCGCAACAATCAACGAACCGGCACCACCAAATGTGCAATCACTTTCGATGGTTTTTTTTCGGGTCGGGCGAAAGGGGGGGAGAGCAAAGGGGGGGTTTGAGAATCAGCTCACGTAGCTGATTTTCCTGGCGCCTCCTGGCGCCGGAGGCGGCTATGTATCGAGGAATGGGCCCCTCGGTGGGGCCGAAACCAGCTGCATGCAGCAAATTTCGTAACCCCCCCTTTCCCAATCCCCCCCTTTCGTCCGGCCCGATTTTTTTATCACTTTCAAATTTTGGAGACTAGTTGGAAGGACGGCCAACGCTGCAGCCGAAGCACGATTCGGACCGAGCGGCAGCGAGGACATGAGGCAAACGCTGCAGCGGGAGTACGATTCGGAACGAGCGGAAGCCCGAACATGAGACAAGCGCTTCAACGGGAACAGCATTTTCAGCGAAATCCCAAGCGGAAGCCCGCTTCCCGGGAATCCAATGTAAAACAAGAGAAAATACGCGGAGAGAGGGCTGGGGATATCTTCAGGATGCCACCCGGGGAGAGGGGAGATGCGTACTCATTATGCGTAACTGTGGAGGAAGAGGAAGAGGAAGAGGAGGAGGAGGAGGAGGAGGAGGAGGAGGAGAAAAAGGAGGAGGAGGAGAAACAGGAGGAGGAGGAGGAGTTGGACGAGGAGGAGGGGGAGGAGAAAAGGAGGAGGAGGAGGAGGAGGAGGAGAGACAGGAGGAGGAGGAGGAGGAGGAGAAACAGGAGGAGGAGGAGGAGGAACGAGGAGAGGAGGAGGAGAGGAGTTGGACGAGGAGGAGGAGAAACAGGAGGAGGAGGAGTTGGACGAGGAGGAGGAGGAGGAGGAGGAGGAGGAGGAGGAGGAGGAGGAGGAGGAGAGGAGGAGGAGCGACGCCGACGCCGACGCCGAGGACGCCGCAGGGGTGGGGGGGGCGGGGGGGAGCCTCCGGGCGCGGCGGCGGGCTCGCCGCGGCCCTCGGGGGCGCCCCCGCGCACGAGGGCGGCCCGGGTGGCGGCCCCGGGCCTCGGGGGGGGATTTCCAGGATTTCCGCCATCACGTAGTGATAAAAGCATGCTAGCTCAGGCTTTGGGAAACAGGTCGCGAGAGATACGATCAAGGTACTCGCGCCTGGCCTTGGTAATCAACTGTGGGCGGCAAGGATTCCCGAGCCCTCTGAGCTGGGCCTGACCGAAGAATCCGCATGAGCCGCAAAACCCCGGGCCTCGGGGGGGGGGGGCGGAAGGCGAGGGCCGGGCGTCGAACCTCGGGCTTCGATGACGGAGGGTCCCAAAAAACACCCAGAGATCCCACGCGTTGAAAAAAAACAGCGAGGCGGAGGTGTTTCGCACTTTTCGGCCTCGAGGGGCCCTCGCCGGGCCCCGGGGCCGTCAAAAGACGACTCCGGACGAGAAACCGGTCCCGGGGAAGGGGTCGAGACTTCTGGGGACCACGTATTGAAAAAATCACGACATCGGATCTGTGGGTAGATGATCGAAGATCGACGGTCGATGGTTGGGTTTCGGGCCAAGGGTCGACCTCCTCCTCACCCTTCTTCACCCTTCCGCGTCGTCCTCATCCTCGTCGGCTCCTCCCCTTCTCAACCTCTTCCTCCTCGCGCGTGTTCCTCCTGTGTTTCCAACTCTCGCCCCAGAAGCACGCGTCTCTGCGTGTGGGGGAGGAGGGACGAAAGGCGAGGAGAGATCATGAGAAAGAGAGGATGGGGAAAGAGGTGGATGAAGAAGAGAGGGAGCGAGATGATGAGGGAGCAGGGGGAAGAGGATGATGAGGGAGGAGGAGGAGGCGGAGGCGGAGGAGGATGAGGAGGATGAGGCAGAGGGATAGAGTAGGATAACGAGGAGAAAAGGGAGGTCGCCATTTGCGGTGTCTCTGACCCCCCGCGCCCAACGCGGGAGACCTGGCCCCCCACGGCCCGGCGACGAGCGCGGCGCCCGCCGTCGTATAATGGTCACGCGGCGAGGTGCCCGC